CCCCCCCCCCCCCCCCCCCCCTTTCGGTCCGAGTAGGACGAGAGATTTGTCCCTATTTCGCCAATCCTTTCTCTCCGTTCATCATTCATACGTATACACATGTAGAGAACATACCCTGAGTGACAGCTCACACTCGAAAGCTTGATTTTGAACTAATTTACTCATGTCTGTCCGATGTCCGTCGTCCAATATGAAACTAGCCTGTTATAGCTTGCTCACTTGTGCACTCACTTTATGTTAAGAGCTTGAAAATGGACGCAGTCGCTACTCGGTTGCAAAGGAACCAGAAAACAACATCTTGAAAACCGAATTTCTCTAAGCATTTGCTTTTTAGTAGTAATAGACAGAGTACTGTAAATGTCGGCTTAAAACTTTGCATAAATTGGATGCAATAATACCGCCAGCCATCCTTCTCAATACAAACACCTATATGTAATCAGATGATTTCCGATTTCTAAGTATGTGCTTCGGTTGGTAAGTCTAGTAAGTAGCAAGTTCGGCCCAGGGCGAAATACTTCTTTGCAATTTCTGTGTTCTTTTTTCGTTTCATTGCTTAAGTTCTTATTATCTAATCTTAAGAGACCTATAACTCAAAGAAATTTTCCTTGAAAAAAAAAGAAAAAATGTTTTTCAAAAAAAAATAAAAAAAAAAATAGCAACGCATTACTTGTAAAGTCGGTAAAAGTCAATAAATATTAATGAAAATAAAACACAAAATACAAACATAGATTAACTCAAGTAAATAGTTATAAATTTCATCAAAAAAAAAAGCAGACACACACACACATATTCTCGAGCACACACCTTAACACTTCGAAATGTTTAATAAAAATTCCTAGTCGCCGCTACACATAACTAAGAAAATGAAAGAAATGATTACGAAAAGCCATACTCATCTTTGGCTTAATGCTGGCATGTCTACCTGCCACCCATCGTCGAACTCATCCTTGATTGGCGATAAATCTTTAAAGAATTTTTAACTGACATAATGACTTACGCTTACGATAATCGATTCAACAAACGTGATTAAAACTACTTTTAAACGATAACGTTTTTAAATTCCGGACAAGTACGGACTATGAAAGTTGGAAACCTGGGATATTATTATCACATATAATCGTGGAATGGAAGTATGTAGACGAAGTCCTAATTTATCATTCATATAAAATTTCCTGCAATTTTGAGTACAGCAAGAGTGGAGAGATAGCAAGACCTATAAGTTTACGTGCATCGAATAAAAATCCAAAATTGATCCAGAAAGAGTATAATGAATTTGTCTCGATGGCGATGGCGATGATTGAAAAGAATTATATTCACATCTACATACATATACACTAAGCGAATACCTGCATACACATGAACACGCATAATGTAATTACTTTTTAAGGAAATTAATAAAAAAAAAAAAACAATACAAATAAAAAAAAACAATACAAATAACAAAAAAAAAATAAATACAAAAAAAAAAACGAACAATAAAATTTATGAAAACTTAAATTTATACTGGTTTAACTCGACAGGGTTACATGATTACATGGTTAATTTATTTGAATGAGACGCATAACGCAGATGGATTTTACTACAAATCTAACCTGATTCTCGTTTAGGTGTATAAACTGCATAGTAGTTCGACAGAAGATAAACAACTCTGGCTGTCTATCAAGCACTTTAAGGACGAAAGGAGGTCGTTTTATTAGTAGCAACAATTTGTACACTATGCTAATTATAGTAAATAATCGGCTGAATGAAAAATAGTGGATTTGATACATGAACCCGGGAATGGGATAAAAAACGAAATGGATCTCTGACAATAGCAATATCGCAGGTAAATAAGAAAACTAGCTCCGCGTTCTCTCTTCTTGTCCAAGTGGTGAATTTATCCGTCCATTTTCCAGAAGACTTCCTTTACTACTTTACTGGTGTACTGGTGTATGTATATTTAGTTAATGACTATCGATTGGGATTGAAAGTTCCCCTAAAACTGCTCACTTAGCAAGTGCGAGCCTTGATTGCTACGCTTAACGGTCCAAAATAATGTAAAGCTCGAGTGAAAAAGCAGACGCCTCCTAATACACCAGCAACAGACAAAAAGCCTATACGAGATATGAATATCGGAATAGATGAAAAAAACTACTTCTACTACTACGGAATAGATGAAAGAAAGAATTTCCAAAATTAAGGACAAATTTGAAGACGGACGGACAGACATATAGGAAGATAGATAGATCTATTAAGGTTTTCATCAAATATGTACATGTATATTTTAAGGCGCCTCTGGAACTTTTTTTAGAGAAGATGAATTTTTGGGCTGAAGGGCTAGGCAGACTATCGAAATCTTTCATCCAAGGACAATCGACTACATAATACTCTTCTTCTCCTGTTTCTCTTCATTTGTCAAAGACGAAAAAGTAACGAAAATAAATATAGCTTGACCACTCATCCACAACACCTGCAGTGACCTGAAGACTAAACTAAAATTTGCATTTGGATTTGTACGATAAGTCGCGTTTCGTAATGATGTGGATGTTCAAAAAAAAACAGACGCACGATTTGGTTTTTTCACACGTTTACCTAAACTTGAATATAAGATTGCTTTTTACTTCTCCACCGTAGCATTCACATAAACTGCACAAGCTGCTAGTTATACTCCTATCAGATATTCGATAAGTTAATTGGAATGTTTTCACATGATTCCCCTGCGACCTGATCTAATCATTTTTTGAGATCAATCAAATTGTTGCAACAAATTTCAAACAGCTTTCTAACAATAGATGTCCTACTGGGGTCAAAATAACTGAACATATCTGATTAATTAAGCGGCTAATCGATATTTCTATATTTGACCAAAGAAATATGAGTAGATTCGCATACACTATCAGGTATCAGGTATATCTGTAGTTGCATGTAAATAGAAATCTCACTACTTCTACTACTTACATACAATGCTAAGTACGCCTTGAGTGCCTTGATTACAGCAGTTTGCCATCATACTTTGTAAACTATGCTAATAATAGACTGAAAATGCAGTCATGTGATGAAAAACCAAGCAAAGGATTAAATCATTTTCTTCGGTTTGAAAACCGAATACAGCTGATTACTGTCTTCAGATTTTTATTTTACTTTGTTTGCAAATGTTAGCGAAACGGAAAACATCGGCTGATCAGGTGTAATCTGACTGAATGAATATTCGAAACTTAAAGTGAAGTTTAGTAGAAAACTAAATTAGGGAACTAAATTAAAGTAGTCTAGCGAGTCTTTTTGCGATTTGCAACAATCGTATCCCATAAAAGTTTTATTTGTTTTTGTGCTTCTTGTAAGTCTAAAATTAATCCTTAAATACCGTAATTAAAGTTAAATCGCATTTCAACCTAAATACTAACGTTACGTTTATCAAGCAAGGGAATGATAATAAATAGAAGCGTAAATTACTTTGGGACGAAGCAAGCAACACTTTATACACAGTTGGAGTGACATAAAGCGAAACATGAACCGTTTACTAATGAAGTTTTAAAACAGCAGGAAGACAGCTTATTAACCCTTTGATATTTTTGGCAAATAGCTGAAGACTACTTACATATAGAGGCTCGCGCAGCAATAAAATCTTATTAAAATTTTGTGACACAAGTATAATGGAGCGTAAAAGCGAAACAAAACAATTGCTAAAATAAATCAAAATGTCAAAGAGAAGGAAAAAAAAGTTTGTGAAATTTATTTACGTGACTAAGAGAGGAACACAACACGCATACAGTACTTTTCACCTAACAATATTTGCTCCGCTAACCACAATGATATCTTATTCGCAACTTTTCGCAATTGTTTTAATAAAATCAAAGAAATTGAAGACATTGACAACACCATGCTCCGATGGGACGCCAATTTAATCAAAAAACTGACAGCTGAAATGCTTTTCTTTTCCATAGAAAGCAGCGGCAAATATGTAAAAATCTTTCAATTTTAATCATACACTAGTTTTTCTTTGCGAAATTCATTCAC